CAAAATCACAAGCAAACCCAACAAACACTCCTCAAGATTATGATGAAGCAAAAGCTAGATTAAAACACTCAAGAACATTTAAAATTATGAAACAATCAAGAGTGGCAAAAATATATAGCTCAACATACCAAAAATATCAACTAAGATTATAATTATAAAGCCAAGACATAGCAATCTAATATTATAGTCTTACCAAATAGAGGAAAATTAAGAGAAAAATAAAAGGGTTGTAAAATTGAAGACCCAAGTGGTTCATTGAGCTTCTATCCCCCTTCAAGCACCCAAAATGATTTAACCTTCAAATTTATTCAAGTTCTCCATGAAAAGCTCAAGTTGGCTAAACCCTTCCATGGAACCAAGTAGAGAATGAAGCATGAAATGGATGATCAAGTGGTAGGGATGTGTAAAGAAAGTGAGAGAAGAATGGGAGTAATTTGGTGATGATCTAATGATTAGATAAAGAGAAATGGAGGAGAGAAAGGGATGGATGATCAAGTGAGAGGGATGTATAGAGGGGAGTAAGAGAAGAATGGGAGTAATTTAGTGATGATCCAATAGTTAGATGAAGAGAAATGGAGGAGAGAAAGGGACTGCTATGGCTGGAAAAATGAAGAACAATGAAAAATAAGAGAGAGAATGTGAAATGAAAATGGAGGAGGTGATGAGAGATTATGCGTGAAGGCTAGGGTTAATATTTTTTGGCGAAAATGAATTGATTATGTGCATGTATTCAGCTGGCACTTGGGAGAAAAATAAAAAAAAAAAGAAAAAAGAAAAGGCTAGGGTGAGGTACACACTTCCTATATGCTCAAATAGGTGGCTATTTCTCATTAGCTCAAAGGGAATATCCTAAGCGAGAATATTCTCACTTATCTCATCAAATGATATAATTATTCTCTCCCTTTTCCAAACCCAAAATAATGCCAATCTTGCCTATTTTAGCCATCTTTCATGATTCTTGACCAATTGTAAAAGTTTAGATCCACATGTGCCACTTAAGTCACAAAATAAACATAAAATCAAAGTCAAATATTCATGTGACCTAATAATTAAATTCTTTCACATGGAATTAATTAACTAATATGTAGAATCCAAGGATAGTAACAAGTAAAAGGTCATGCAAACAAATAAAACCTTAATTCAGTTAACAAAGTCAACAACTTTAAAATGTGATTTTTATTTTATCACTCCCAAACCAAATTACATTTTGAAAAAATAATTTCATATTCATTCTTCTGGGAATAAAACACATGGAAAACCACATTAATATAATTTTTTCATAAAAAGTACAATTTTAGACCAAAATACTTCTAATACACAATTTTGCCCCTTAAGCTATTTTCTTGCTTTCGACACCATGAACACACCAAATGTGAAATCAAAAATTTGAAATGGGTCTTAAACAAATGGATAAAGTGTGTAAATTATGGGTCTTATCAATTTACCAAGTTCCTTTAGCTCACATTGTTATTTATGAGTCATTAAACCTTCATTAATTACTTCTCAACTCATTCAACTATCTTCATTAATGCCATTTTTAGATATTTATGATAATTACCAACTAAAAATCTTTAAAATCATTAATAATGGGTTTAAATACTCTAAACAATTCCCTCTATGTCTATTTTAGTTAATGGGTTCAAACCCATAGCTCATATGGAACAAAAATCACCATCCACACCCTAACTTAAATCCTCATGAAAATGGAAGAGAAAGGGAGGAGAGGAGTATGGGACATTTACCTTAGGTATTCTCTATCTCTAAAATATTCCTAAACCTCCAATGTCGTAAGCCCTAACAAAGCAATATTGTTTGCTCTTCATTTCCTCCCTTTTTTCCTTTAGTTTTCTACCTAATTCACAAGTTTATCAAAAAATTTGACCATGCTCTTGGCGCACGCAGCACACACCATGATGCATCACACAAAGAGGCCCTCTTTCGTTGTTTGTCATCTGTGCGCCACGACAAATGTGTTACACGCTGTGACATGAGGCATAAAGACTTACCCTTCAGATTTTCTCACCTTTTAATGTCCTCATGGCTTGACTTCACTTTGAACCCAAATTTAGGACTAAAATCACAATTAAACATACTTGTTAGACACGCACCATATTAATTAACTTAATTACTCCTCTTTACTTTACTTAATTGAATCTTAAATTTCTAGGGTGTTACACATGTGGTATGTTGTATAGGTACTCTTAAATCCATTGAGTATGTTCTAAGTGGTAGGAATTACTTTTAGTACATATGTGGGGTTTTAGACACCCTTAAATTGTGAAAAGTGAGAAAAGTTGTAAAAATGTGTTTGGACATCTAACTTCTTTATATGACATAATTTAAAAGTAAAACCTATGCTATTAACTAAATTATAAAAAGAGCTTTCTGTAAACACCCAAATCACCACATTTGGACATTGGATGGAGAAATGATGCATGTTAGAAGTTGCCCTGGGTTGCTATTAAATGATAGAAAAATTGTTGTCTGATGCATGCAATACTTGAAGTGTCTGCATTGCAGCGCATGACACAAAAAAAAGGACAGCTGCGGTGCATGTGCACATGGTGTGAAGCATTGCCCTGTTTTTCAATAAATTTTGAATATTTTCACTCTTATAAAGTATCCCATACTTCCAACATATTATTTTACTCTAATTTGAAGATTATTAAATGATGTTTTAGTAAATTTAATTTATGAAAACTTGGGATTCCTTCTTTATAAATTATAAATTTGGTAATCTTTATTAAGGTTAGACCTATGATTATCTTGGATTTTGTAATTAATTATGATTAGATAACAGAGATATTTCATATATGCTGTTAGATTATCCAAGTATGAGTAGACATAAAATTAAATTTAATAACTAATATATAATAAAGGAAAATGATATATAACTTAAGCCTTGAGGTTTTAAGTTAACATGTAATGTCTTTCTGTTAATTTTATTCATTTCTCCTCTCCTTCTATTTTCAAGTGATCGCCTCCATTCCCAACATGTTTAATTTTTTTTAAAAAAATTAAGTTCAGGAAATTGAAATATTTAACAATTAACCATTTCAGTATTTCTACTCTTCTATATATAGGAGTTGGTTTATGAGTTTATTTTGGTCTTAAATATAAGTTTTAAATCTCTTTTATCTCCCATAGTAATTAGTTTTTATTAGGGAGAATGATAATAAAGTTTTAAAAGAATAAATTAATAACAATTAAGTCTCTGACAAAATTTTTTGTAAAATAAATTATAAATGTCAATTCAAACGGTTGTAAACAAAAATTCAAATTGTAAACTAATTATTATATTTAGAACTTAAATATTGTATTTACAATTGAAACTATTAAAAATTTGTAACTATTTGAATTGATATTTACAATTTATTTTTTAAAAAATTATCAAGAGCCTAATTGTCATTAATTTTCTCTTTTGAAACTTAAATGTTATTCTCCCTTTTATTAACTATTCTTATTGATTGCATACAATAATGTGTGTAATTAGCAGGTTTAACTTCTAATATAAGTAATTAAAAAGGAGGTATTTTATAAATAATTAATGCTCGTTCTAGTCCTATTAGCTACATCTGGCACTATTTATAAGATAGAGAGAAAATAATTTTCTTAGCACTATTTATCTCATTTTACTCTCTATTAAATATTAATGAGAGAAAACATATTGTTAAAATATGTATATTTAATAAAGATAAAATTGATAGTTTATTAAATTTTATGATAGAATTACTAAGTTTTAAGATTTTTTTAATTTAAATAAAATATGTTAAAAGTAATTATAAATAAAAATGAAGAAATATAAGATAGAGAGCAGAATTGTTTTGTCATATTTATGAGTTGTATAATTAAAATTTTATCATAAATTTTTTCTTTTACTCTTAAACAAAGTATGTTATTTATGTATATTTATTAGAACATTACTAGAATGAAAGCTGAAAACTTATTAAAATAGGTATATTTAATGAGTTTTCAAGTTTTCATTAACTTTAATAAAAATAATAGAAGTAATTTATAAATAAAATTGGAAGCAATATAATTTTTAGTAAATAATTTTAACTTACCTTATTTTCATAATACATAAATTCTTGTTTCACTTTATGAGATGGTTTTGGAGATAAAATCAATATCCCAAAATATACAATATTTTAACAAAAATACAATTTCTTTAATTATACTTCTTTCAAGATTACCCTTTCATTATTTAAAAATATAAGTCATTTTTTTAGGGATTAGATGTTAAAAAATATAAGACATTTTTAATATTTTAAAGTGTGATTATTATCTTTTTTTTAAAGTGTTCAATTAAATAATTACTTTATATTTATTTCAAAATAAAACCATTATTATATAGGGCTAAATATAAAAAAATAGTATTAATTTAAAATTTTAAATTAATTTATTAAGGTAAAATTTAGTTAAAATACCTTATATTTTATAATGTAAAGAGCATTATATCTTCTCTCTATTTAATGTTTTTAAAATAATGTTAGGTTAAATGATGATATCTGATTGACATGCATAATTTTAAGAAAATAATAACATATACATCTAGAAAAAAGATAGAGCTGTAATTCAAATCAAGCTTAATGGACCAACTCAAATCCATTTAAAAAATATTCAATTAAAAAAAATTATAATTGAACCTAATTATATAAATTTTTTAAAAGAATATAATATTTTAAAATTAATTTAAATAAATTTAATTTAAATTAAACTCAATTTAAATAAATTTAATTTATCTGAATTACCATCTTAAAAAAAAAATGAATTAGTTAGCATTGCCATTGGAAGAGAAATAAATAAAAAAAACACGAATCTAAAGAGTGCATCATGCGTGTGTGGGTGGGAAAGAGAGAGATGGAGGCATCGGAGGGTGTCACGGACACGTTCACCCTCTCATTCAATGCTTTACCAAACTCACCCTCCCTCTCTTTTCATTCCCTCCCAGGTCCCATCCCACCGTTCATTTCCTCCATATCTCCTTCACCACTAGCTGTTTACTCCCTCCCTCCCTCCCTCCCTCTCTCTCTCTCTCTCTCTCTGTGCCACAGCAATGGACTGCCGAGCTGCTTTCAAAACCAGTTCTCGCAAGGACGCCACTGTCAAATTCAGCCCCCACGCGTTTCTTGAGGACCTGTCCGCTTTCAATGTGTCCACTCTCACCCCTTCGGACGACTTCTTTGTGGACGACCTTCTCGACTTCTCCCACCTAGATGCCCTCCCCGAACAACAGGAACAGCCTCTCTCTCTTTCTCCTCCCCCACTGCCCCAAACTCCTCTCACTTTTTCTGTCACAGACGGCTTCGCCTCTGCCGAACTCATCCTTCCGGTACTTTCTTCCATTCCCTTCTTCACAGCACCGCTTTTCTGCTTTTTTCTGCTTCCACTTTCTTATTTGTTGATCCAAGTTACCATCTTTGTAGGCCGATGACGAGGCAGACTTGGAGTGGTTGTCTCATTTCGTCGACGACTCCTTTCTGGAATACTCCTCCGCCTGCCCTGCCGGAACCTCGACGGCAATTCCCGTGACCAAGACGGACAAAGTACTTGAATCCGAAACCCCTGCTGTAACCTCGCCCTGCTTCCTCACCCCGATTCCTGCCAAGGCCAGAAGCAAACGAAAACGAACCGGTGTTCAGGTTTGGTCGCTGGGCTTTCCTCCCGTGGCCGAGCCATCATCCTCCACCTCCTCCTCGTCATCCTCCTCCTCGTCTCCTTCCAGCACGTGGCTAATTTATAACAACGGTGCCCCTAATCCGCAGCTCGTCGCCTCCGAGGCGAAGAAACCGAAGAAAAGAACGGCTGATGAGGCGGCTCCGGCGTCGCGGAGGTGCAGCCATTGCGGCGTGCAGAAGACTCCGCAGTGGCGGACGGGGCCGCTGGGAGCAAAAACGCTGTGCAACGCGTGCGGGGTCCGATATAAATCGGGTCGTCTCTTACCTGAATACAGACCCGCGTGCAGCCCGACGTTCTCCAGCGAATTGCACTCGAATCACCACCGTAAAGTGCTGGAGATGCGACGGAAGAAGGAGATGAGTGAGACGGGGTCTGGTTTGGAGGCTCCGCCTGCTGTCCCTTAGTTTTTGATTAACGGACAAAATTTAGGTAGGAGAAAAATAGCCGAGGAAGGAATAGAATAATTAATTTAGCAGACTTAGGGTGGGGTGGACGTGGCCCCGAGCCGGTGTAAATTTTTTTTTTTTTAATTTTTCTTCAAACTTTTTTCACGTGGTTGGTGCGTTAGGTGGTAGTCCCCTGTAACTCATTAAAAATGAATTCGATTTGTACACCTTTTTAATTTAGGGGAACATTGGAGTTTTCCTTTTACTTTTTAAAAATCGTTTTCAAATATGGAGAATGGAGTTCTGGAAATGAGGGGTGGGAATTATTAGGGATATGACATGGGCTTGCTACTGAACTAGAAGTGGGAGGAGGAATTTTGTCAAAAAAGGGAAAGTAAAGTGGTTTACCGATTAAAGGAAAAGGAAAAATAAAGGCAGAGCTGGTTGAAACTTGAAACTTAGTATTTTAAAACTCTAACCGAATATTAAATTAGAAAAAACAATAAGTCGCGGCTTTCATAATTTAACTGATTAGATTGACAGTCGAATCAATATCATAAAAATTAAATAAAAATAATATTTATATTCATAAATATATAAATGAAATATTAATTTGTCGATGGTGCTTGAGATCTCAATACCGAAGACTAAATGCCCGAACTATTAGAGCTAGAAGCCAAGGTATGTCAACACAAGCTCACCAACGCTAGAATTGGAGGCATGCCGTAATGTCACGACTCACGAGCTTTCAATTTCAATATCAAAGGTTGAATTGTTAGAGTTGGAGGCAAAGGTTAGATGAGAAGTTAAAATTGAGTATGAGTTATGGATGAGAGATCAGAGATTACAAAAGAAAATTAGAGATTAGATAAGAAAAATCATGAATATGAGCGACTTAGCTTAAATTTATTTTTTTTTCTTAGGCTTTAAATCGGGTTGACCCGCTTCGAGTTCCAGGTTAAATCCAGTTCTATGAAAACCACCCAGTTCAATTTAGGTCAATTCAATTTAAAGGCTAATTTGGTTCAATTGGTTAAATCAAACTATTTTATTCAGTGGGTGACGATCGAACCATCCGATCTGATTTGGTCCGGTTTTCATAACATTGCTGAAACTGAAAGGGCTTTATGTCGTTGTGACATGGAATTTGTCTTTTAGATTTCTTATTTGTTCTCCATCCTTAAATCACCCAATCTTTTTACTTGTTAGTTTGTTTCTTGTTTTTGTTTTATTTGCTATTCATTCTTTGATTTTTTTTTTGTAAAAAAGACGTGTAATATTTTTGGTAAATTTAAATAATCGAAGATGAACAAGCCACAGAGGGAGCTGGAAGAAACTTGCAAATTGCAGATGGCAAGTAGCAAGAAGTAGGGGTGAGCATTGGTTGGTTCGGATCGATTTGGTTTCAAAATATGCAGAACCGATGGATCGAATAACACTAAAAATGAAAACCGAATTGAATCGAACAAATCAATCAAATTGAATAAGGACTGAACCGAAATTTGATAATTCGGTTCGGTTGGTTAATTCAGTTTTTTGGTTTTATATTAAACTATTGAAATTGGGCCTATTTTTTTAAATATTAAAACAAACAATATTACAAAATTGGGCCTGTTTTTCTATTCATTTTTTTTAATATGAACCCATTTTAATTACACCCATATGACATAAAGCCCAAATATTATAAAGGCACATGAATAATCAAACAAACAACCACAAATAAACACTGATGATCAAATAATGGCCCCATAATCCAGTAACAACACCATAATTTAGTCACAACATCTACTAATGAGAGTGAGTGATCGAAATAGGGTTTTAAGTGATGTTATTATTTTTTATTCTTTATTAAAATAAAAAATAAAATAAAATAAAATAATTTATAAATTAATAAATTATATGTAATTTGGTTGATTCGGTCTATTTAATTTTAAATTTTACTAACCGAATCGAACCGATCAATCAAAATATTTAAAATAAAAAAATCAAATTAAACTAAAAAATTAAATAAACTAAATCAAATGATAAAATTCAATTGAATTTGATTCGATTTTTGATTTTGATTTAGTTTTGCTCATTCATAGCAAGAAAGGGTCACCAAAGTCACATGGCAGGTTAACCATCAATTTTTATAAGGGTGGGCACCTGGGCAATGTGAAAGTAGTAATGTAAGGATGGTGGAGATAGTAAAAAAAAATGAATCCGAGGGCAAACGTTATTTGAAGCCAAAAGTCAATCATGAAAAAAGGCGCAAGCAAGAAGCAATGCCTGTTGGCCTCTCATTAACGTAGAATTTGAACTCGCCATCAAAATCACTTCTAATAACGCCTTCCTTTATGGTGATTTGGATAAGGAGGTTTATCTGGCTCTTCCTCCTAGTTTTATTTTTCCATCACCTAATATTGTTTGCAAGCTTTAAAAGTCTCTTTATGATTTAAAGCAAGCTAGCCACCAATAGTTTGTTAAGCTTACAACTACTCTTACTTTATATGATTATCTTTAGTAAAGCTAATTATTCTTTATTTGTTAAGAAGACTGATTCTTCATTTATAATGTTATTGGTTTATATTGATGACATTATCTTGGCTGTTAATGATTCTATTGAAATTTATAATATTAAAAGTCTTTTAGATCAGTCTTTTAGAATCAAGGATTTGGGCCAGGTCTATCATTTTCTTGGTCTAGAAATAGCCTGAACATCTTCTCATATATCTGTCTGTCAATGGAAATTTTCTTTAAGCATCCTTTCTGATGTGGCTATCTTGCTTGCAAACATGCTTTTACCCCCATAGATAGGTCTGCCAAGGTCTCTAAAGATGATAATACCCCTATTGATAATCCTTTCGTTTATTGGTGTCTTATTGGTTGTCTCTTCTATTTGAAAACAACTCACTCTGACATTGCTTTTCTTATCTAACAATTATCTTAATTTATGTCTAATCCACATAATACACATTTGCAAGCTGCTCATCGTGTTTTTCATTACCTTAAATCCTCTCTAGGTAAGGGCTTATTTTTCCCCATTAACTCTGATCTCAAATTGGAGGCTTTCTCTTACTCTAATTGGATTGGTTGTGTTGATTCTTGCTGCTCCACTACTAGCTTTTATGTTTTTCTTTACAAAGCTTTGGTTTCTTAGTGCTCGAAGAAACAATCCAATGTTTCTTGTTCCTCTTCTAAGGTTGAATATTTGCACTAAAATTAATTGAAAGGTATGTAATAGTTAGCATTAATGCTAGCTTTGTTCCAAAAAAAAAATCAATTTTGTTAATGTTTAATGTTTAGTTGCATCCATACATTATTCAAAATTCTTTATGAATTTGATTTTTTTTCTAGTCTTTATGAATATGTTTGAGTAGGGCTGAGCAATGTTCAAACTTGCCTAAAGCCTGCTCGTATAAGACAAAATGAGTACGGGTGTAAGTAATCTGTTTTAAACTATTTTTAAATGGGTTGGACTAATCTAAATAGGCTTGAATGGGTTTCAACTAGCCCATTTTTCCTTGCAAAATTTAAAAAAAAATTGAGAAATACTTTAGATCTACATCCCAACCAACAATTTGTACATTTTAAAAAAAACCCATAAATTTGCATAATCAAAATCAAGCTAAAAAGGCAAAGCAATAAAGAAAAATAGGTCTAGAGAGAGAGAGAGTTAGAGAAGTAGATTGCAATGGCACACACAAGGGAGAGGAAGACACAAACGAGGTAGGGAGTAAAGAGTCAGAGATGAGAGGGATGAGAGACTGAGGTCTGAGACGATACAGCGAACTTGATGAGAGAGGTTGAGATGAGTATGTAAGATTAAGAGTGATGAGGAATTGAGAGTTTTTCCCTTTATTTCATCTTCATCTTAAGATTATGTCTGATGCAAGGTAAGGCTTGAGGGAGGGAGGAAGTTTTTTTTTTACCATTGAGGGAGGGAAAGAGTTGACGCATTGGTGATGATGTGGTTTGGAGTTGGTAGAGGGTCTCATTTGGACATCTTGAAAAGTATGTGGTTCGACTCTTAAAGTTTAGCACATCACGTACAATGCTCCTTTAATTTGTATGACTTTTTTATTTGTATTTTTGGCAATTTTTTTAAATAACTATATACAAGTAGGGACAGGAAACTTAAGCCCATCCTGCCTTGTTAACAAGCTAGCCCATATATATGGCCTACCTAATTTTTCCTTCAATATGTGGGTTTTTATTCGCCCAATTTGATCAAGTTTAGGCATGTATACTGGGTGAGTTGCTTGCTCAGCCTTATATTTGAGAAACTTTGATGGGATCAAAATTATGAGTGGGAGTTATAATGTATGTCAAATAATGATTTAAGGATATTATCTTGATCTATCAACATCTATATAGAATATACGCCACCCAAAGAGTGTGCTAAATGGATTTAGTGAGGGATGCTTGCTACTTATGTATTAGCTCATGTCATGTTACCTATTATCTCGTGTCACATCACCTACTTACTATCATGTCACATATTTATTATGTTTATGCTAATGCCAAAATTTAAAGACTTAACCTCCTAGTTTCCAAGTCTTGTACCGTCCTTCTTTACACAATAAATATGATTCATTTTTTCTAGTCAGTAAGTAAGTATTTGAATGTGCTCTATAGGATTGAAGAGAAAGAGTAAGTCTTTACTCCTTAGTCTATCGCTATCTTTCATCCTTTCCTTGCCTTAAATTTTTTTTTCTTTTTTTGGTTGTAAACTGGCTATTTATTGGGATCTTCTCGTCGTAACTAGTAATAGGCTTGTCCATCATTTTATTTGGATTATCATGAGCGGGTCTAGTGAACTACCCTTTCACTAGTTCTACCTTTCACTACAATAAATACGATTCATTTTTCTAGTCAGTAAGTAAGTATTTAAATGTGCTCCATAGGATTGAAGAGAAAGAGTAAGTCTTTACTCCTTAGTCTATCGCTATCTTTCATCCTTTACCTGCCTTAAATTTTTTTTCCTTTTTTGTTGTAAACTGGCTGTTTATTGGGATGTTCTCGTCATAACCAGTAATAGGCTTGTCCATCATTTTATTTGGATTATCATGAGCGGGTCCGGTGAACTACCCTTTCACTAGTTCTACCTATTATTGGATTTGAACCCTAGCTTAGCTCTCCCTATTGCTAAGGGGATACTACCTGTCTACTCTTGATTCTCCTTTGTAGACCAGCAAACCTTACATACATAATGCCTCGATTCATTAACATGCAAGAGAAAATGATCCAACTAAAATGCC